ATCCGGATCCTGTTCCTCATCATCCCAAACTGGAAACATATCCGCCAAGTCCTTAGCCACACAGCACTGTATGCGAGCCTAGAAAAACACAATAAGTAAATGAATTACTAGCCATATGAAGCCTGGAAAAACTACGTATGAAGTCTACCATTGAAGTCTACCACTGAAGTCTACAACTGAAGTCTTCTTCTAACAAGATTTTTATATAGAAGTCTACACATGAAGTCTACTCCTGAAGTCTACTTTGTAAATTCATTACTATATAGAAGTCTAATACGGAACAAGACTTCGAAATGAGAATGACTAGACTAATACAGTACCTGTTTTAGCATGTTGGCTTTGACGTTCTTTCGTCCTCTTGATCCTTTGTAAGCCAGCAGAAGAGGTGTAGGATCATTTGGCAATGGTTCACCAAATTCAGCAGCAAAATCCGGCAGAGCATAGTACACCCACACTTGAAGAGCTTGCACAAATCCTTATATATGAATGTTTTTGCTGAGATTTTTCTCCTTAACAGACTTGATCAGATGCTGAAAAGCAAATTTTCCCCATGGGAACTCCTTAAAACCTTCGAGATCCATCACTAGTCTGGCATGGTTGACATTTGTGGATAAGCCTGGTCTCATTGCCACTATGAAACCAGCTTAGATCCCAAGATATCCCAACCGCAACCTATCATCCCGAGACCATGATGAGCAGTTGGAACATGCTTCAATAATTTTGATAGTGTTTGGGCCCGACTCGACATCGACCCCCATTAGCTCCCAAAATGCCTGCATGTCATTGGAAAGCTCAAGATCTATTACAGCCAAGTCATCCACGTACCCGCAGTTGAGTCCGGTGATCTCCTCAAACTCATGCAATGAAAACCAAACTGGAGTGGTACCAATCAGGCTCCATATCTCGTACCTCTGCTTGCAAACTATCTGAAAGGTCAGCATGTGGTGCACCAGCCTAGAAGCCCAACCAAAATCCAAGTCGTGGAACTTTAAAAAGACACCCAACGGTGACTCGTAAATCTCTTCCCATTCATCCTCTTGTAGAGCTGACCGTAGTGCAGGTACCAGCCTATAATCATCAGCATAATAGCTGATACTTTTATCCGGGGCTGGCTCACCGCCTTTGGTGTACAGTTTTCTAGGGAATTCAGAGGCCACCATTATCTAACACAGATTTCTGCATCAACGGTAACAAAGCTCTAATGAGAAAAACTAGTTATAACTAACGGTTAGAAACTATACACGAATGAAGGCTACTTTTTCAAAATGAAGTCTACTTTTTGATACAATGAAGTCTACTTTTACAAAATGAAGTCTACTTTTTCAAAATGAAGTATACTTTTACAAAATGAAGTCTACTTTTGCAACATGAAGTCTACTTTTGCAACATGAAGTCTACTTTTGCAACATGAAGTCTACTTTTACAAAATGAAGTCTACTTTTTTGCAAAATGAAGTCTACTTTTGCCAAAGGAAGTCTATTTTTGCCAAAGGAAGTCTATTTTCACATTCTAAGTACAATCCGAGTCGAGAAGTCTACTGAAGCCAACCAAAGCAATCAAAACATAAAAAAAAAACAGTATATGAAGTCTACGGAAGCCACATGAAGCAATCAAAACATCATAAATACTGCATATGCAGTCTACTGAACCCAACCGAAGCAATCAATACATGATAAATACTGTATATGAAGTCTACTAAAACCAATCATCCAAATAGAATCTACAAAGTTTATAGTGTTTACAGCTGTGATTAGATAAAGCTGGCGTCGAGAAAATGCAACCAGATCTGGGAAAAAAAACCTAAGTACTCAAACCCGACGGACAAAATTACAGGAAGATAGAAGAAATAGAGGAATAGCTAAGTATATATCTTCGGAAGGACATCTACTAACCGTTTTGAAGCAGGAAATGACGTTAACCCCCAGCGGTGAAAGCAGATCTGTAAAAAAAAAAACCCTAATTTCAGATCTGGACACTGGTGGTTACGAAAACGGAAAGGTGATGAATACGGAGGAGTATGGAAGCATGGGGGTGTGGTTGGAGGAAGAAATCTTGCCTGAACGGGTTTATCGGCAGAGGTTCTGTAAGTCGGCGGCGCCGGAGAAGAGAAACAGAAATCGCCTTCGATTTTTTTAAAAAAAACACAAACTTTCGACGGTTTTTTTTTTACGAGATCTTTAAAATTTCTTTATATAGTCTGGTAACTCTGTTCGGTTCGGATAAGTTTTTTTCGGTTAGGGTTACTAATTTTACGGGGACTAGGTAAATTTACCTGGTTATAGGCAGTTTTTTTGGTTAGGGGAAGTTATTTCCGATTTAATTTTGGTTTAAATTTTGGTTAGGTTAATTTATTCGGTTTAGTAAACTTCAATATAAGTCTATAACTTTTAAAATCTAAATAATAAATTTTCTTCTACTTAATTTAAAAACATAAATTTCCATTTAGTAATATGAAAAAATAATTTCTGGACGTTTGGGTTACGATTACGGAATTTATGAATGTAAATTTGATACCAAAATAAAATTAAATTTTCATATTCTAATAGTAGACTTCTTTCTCTCTTTAGTAGACTCCGTTAGGGTGTAAATGGTAATTAGGACATCCGTTTTTTGGTTACTCATCTATTCTATTAAAACAGAAGCACTTTTAGTGCCTGTTCCCAAACATACCTAAAATTTTTTTTATAATATTTTATTTTGTATTATAATTAATTTTGAAAATTGATTACTAATTTAGATATTGTTAGATTTCTTTAAATATTGGTTATAATAATTTAAATTTTAAATTATTCGAAATTTTTATTACTTAAATTTAATTACAATAACTTAGATTCAATTTAATTTAAAATTCAAAAAAAAATATTAATAAATTTTCTTACAAAAATTAGATAATAATTTTAATTACTTTATAATTCCTTAAATACAGGTTAGATTTTTAATTTAAAATTTTGAATTTAAATAATATTTTTATAATAGCACAAGTGGTAAACAAATATCTTATTGTATTGTTTATCATAATCAATCCGTCTAAAGCATCAAATATTTAATATTACTAAATATTTATATTTTACAATAATATGATAGAGCAAGTTAAAGTTATATATTTATAATAACAATTTTATACGGGTTAGTTTATCAAAACATGTAAGATATTAAAAAATAATTTAAGATAACTAAATGGACGGGTTAGCTAATTCATAGATGTATAGATTTTTTATGTGTAAATCTAAACTTACATAATAATAAAGTTCATAATTAACATTATAGATCAATATATACTTAATTAACTCATATTCTTATTCTACTAATATATAAATCTATACTATTCAAAGTTATAACATGATAAAAAAAATTCTTGAATAAAAAAAATATAACAAAAAGAAATTCTATTAAAAATTATATTATAATTAAAAAAATAAAAAATTTCCGAGCGGGTGCACGGGGTTAGAATCTAGTACAGAATTAAATGGTTTTTTCACTACCTCTTTAGGTTATTTCTGCCAAATATTTTTTCAAGGATCTACTTTTGTATTCAAAATCAAGTTTTAGGTTATTTTTAACAAAAACCCCAAAATGTATTGATGCCAATTTTCATGATTTTGTTTAATCACAAACTTTCATCATTGTTACTAATGATTTTGTTCCTTATGTAATCACAAACTTTCTTTTGTGACTAACTTCGATTAATTTGGATCTGCTTCACTTTAATAATATTCAGAAGTTAAAAAGGCCAAAAAAAAATTAGAAAAATAAATGACTCAGGCTTATCTACCATTGTAAGTGAAACTGTGAGTTACTGTACAATGGGAAGAAATGCAGAAAATTCCCAGGAAAATTCGCTTTCTTCTTCTCTCATCTATTCTCTCGCCTTCTTCCTCATTTTCTCGCCTTCAACGCAAAACCCACAACAAGTAGAAGAATCCAACTACTGCAGCAAAATCAAAACCAGAGACCTTTTCCTCTCCCCAATCTCAAACCAATCTAACATCGCAGCAACAAATCTCATCACCTGCAGATCTGGAAAGCTCTACCTCAAAACCTCAATCGGTCTCTTCCATGTCTCCTCCATCCATTACGCAACCAAAATTAAACCTCAATCGGTCTCTTCCAAACATACTTATATTTTTTAAAAGATATTTTATTTTATATTATATTTAATTTGAAAATTGATTATTAATTTAGAATCTAGTTTTAGCTTTAGCTTAAAACACAAAGATTTCTGATAACACTCGTAAAACTTTAGCTTAGCACTCAAAGATTTCTAATAACACTCGCAAAACTTTAGCTTAAAACTGTATTCCAAGTAAACACTTGTTTCGGAGGGGAAATAAAAAAGTAAACACTTGTTTCTAGAAACAACAAAAGTTGTGGGTGAGCTACTAAATCAATCCCAAAACATCCATTTCTCATGCACAAGTGACAAATATGGTACTCTTACTTTATTCAAGACATAAGATATGGTCTTAATGCCATATAACACAAACAAAAGAACACTATTGCTTTTTAGTGAATAGTAAACGAGTACTGTCTCTACAAGAGTTCCCATTTATCAGTTTTTCTTTCCTCCAACGTCTGTATCTTCAATGTACGTAGTCTTCTCATGTGAATTCCTAGATATGTACAAAATATATAAAGCTTTAAAATTTAAAAAGAAAACAAAAATTTACTTTGTATGAAATTCAAAACATAAATGTGACAATCATCACTATATAAAGAATTAATGAAGAAGATTTAGGGGTGTCTAGTCCTGAAAAACAATCCGATCCAAAAGCAGAGATGAAATAATTGATCCCGAAATCGAACCATGTCTTAATGTGGTTTTTCATTTTTTTTTATGTATCTAAAGAACTGAATCCGAACCAAGCAACAACAAAAAAAGTTGTTCTAAAACTGAAGTTTCTTTGAAAATTAAAACGATAAATTCATAAATAAAACTTAATAAAAAAAATAATCTGAATAAAAAACAAACTAAAATCAGGATTGAGCACACAAACAAAAATCTACCTTAAGTTAGATTTTGAAGGGGTAGGACCACCACATCTGATCTTACAACCTTCATAGCAATTTCCATCGAAATCACTGCAATTGCGAGAACAATACCGAAAGCAACCTATCCAAGTCCATCTTTGTCTTTGCTTTGCTTCTCCTCTCATTGCAGCAGCAATCATCACCATTATTATCACCATTATCACATTCCATTTGGTCATTTCTGTTTTTTTGTTTTTTTGTTTTTAACAATCTTTTGTTTTATTATATAGTCGTTTGTTGTGTATCTCTGAAGAAGTTTCATGCTCGATTTATAAGCTCTTGGTTTTGCTAGTCAATTTGTTTTAGTTTTCTTCCAAATCTGGATCTGAGTTATTGGTATTATTTTTCAGAAGGCTCCATCATTATACGTGAGATATTGAGATCTAACAATTATAGGATCCGAATTCAACGCTAGAAGAATCAATCTTAAACCATTAAAATTATAAGGTTGACCGAAGAAAAAAAAAGAATGATAAGGTTTTATTTCGTTGTCAGTGGTATCTTAACTACATAGGAGTATATTGATTCTTTATTATCTATGTTTTATTCAAGTCTACTGATCTATGTAAAAATTTTTGAATTGTAATTTAATTTTGTTTTATACGAGTTAGTTAATGTATCGAAATAGTTTAACTAACGACTTTATTTTGTCTTCCAAAATCAATACTTTTTTTTCTTGAATAACCCAAATCAATAGTTTAAGTAGAGAGTTTTTATCGTCCAAGTCAATAATCTTAAATTTTAGTCAAAATAAGTAATAAGTTTTTCTTATTAAATGTAATGGTATTTACGTAGTCAAGGACTCAATGTACACCTAATAAGAGCATCATTACCTATGAAAATTTAGATGATACATGTTTAGTAGTAACAAGATTAAATGATAATTTTGTGTTGTTAAGAAGAATTGCATCAACTAGGCCAATCCTAAACTCGAATGAGATTTATTTATCTTTGGTTTGGTGATGGAAAAATTTGGGTTATGTAAGATGGATTTTAAATTGTACTTATATCAATAAATTATCAAATACACACCTACAAAGGCCTGGCACTGACCCACCCGAGTTAGACAAAGCTTGCGGCCTTCATTTTTAAGAAATAATTTTGATGCTCAAATTTCAAAATGTTTTTTTGTTTAGTGGCAGTATTTTAAAAAGTCTCTACAACAAAGTTAAGAATTCGAAACATCAAATGGTAAAATAACCCCATTTTTTTTAATTTGCGGCATTCTAAAATTTAAGATTGGCTCTGTTCCTACTGAATCGTACACATTGGAATCTTATAAAAAGGAGATGGTGTTCCAACAATAGGAGAGCTTCCATTAAGGACTTTTTGTTGGATGAAATCATTAAAGATACGAATCAAAATACATCTTGAAAAGAATGAAATTGGCCTACGACTTGATATACATATATATTATATATGTGGTCTACGAATTCACAGATTCACTCCACTTTGACGATCGTGTTGAGGTAAAAGAAGGTGAGCTAAAGGCTAAAGCTAAACCGTGTACGTAAATTTCCCAATAAGACAGAATTATGGGCCTACCTACAGTCTACAGATGTCTCATATTTATGTTCGTGCACTACAAGAAAGAGAGGTATTTCCAACGAATTTTTTACGTCGATTTATGGTTGTCGTAAATTTACGACGATATTACGTCGAATGTACGACGTCAAAATATTTTGTCGTAAGTTCGACGTAAAATAGTACACTCGTAAAATCATCGTAAATTTACGACGACATTACGACGAATAAAGAACGAATTATATTTCGTCGTAACATTGTCGTAAATTTTACATCGATAATACGATGAATTGGCCTCCATCTTGTAGTTGAAGTAATATCGATGTAAATATAATGTAAATTTTATTTCGACATAAATTTGATGTAAATATTCAATGGTAATATGTTGGTAACCAAACAAAAAAATCTATATATACCCTTTCTTCTCTCATTATTCCATCAACCCAAAAAACATATAAAGACACAATTTTTTGAGTCTTTGAATGTTTGAGTAAAATTTTTAGTAGTTGAAATTTATATCAATATTCAAAACAAAAAGTCATTTATTTGTTTTTGAAATGTCTATATACGATCTACGAAAGTGGATGTATACGCCCAAAAATGTTGATGGGTCGTTGACTAAAGACTTCAAAAACGGATTGGAAATATTCATGTACCAACCCGGCCTTATGCAAGCTGTAATTGAAAGCAGCAAAATGTATTGTCCTTGTGTGAAATGCAAAAATAGGAAACATATTCCTATTGACACTGTCTGACAGCATTTATTGAATAGAGGGTTCATGCCCCAATACTTTATTTGGTATCAACATGGAGAGGGATATGGTCAAAGTAGTGGTCAGATGGCTGCACGGAGTAGTAGTAATCATCAAGAACATGGGATTTTGAAGCGTCAAATGATTATCAAAGTAGTCAAGTTCAGGGTGAGGATCAGGATAGGATGCATGAAATGGTTACTGATGCATTTCATGAAACACATGCTGATACTGTTGAGGAGCCCAATGCAGATGCGAAACGCTTTTATGATATGTTAAACGCAGCAAAACAGCCTCTTTACGAGGGATGTAGGGAAGGTTTATCTAAATTATCATTAGCAGCTCGGATGATGACAATAAAAACTGATCACAGTATATCTGAAGTTTGCATGAACGATTAGGCAGATCTTATTAAAGAGTATTTGTCAGATGATAATTTGGCTGCTGAAACGTATTATGAAATTCAGAAGTTGGTTTTTAGTCTTGGATTGCCTTCTGAGATGATTGATGTTTGTGTTGATAATTGTATGCTTTTTTGGAGAGATGATGAGAAGCTTGAAGAATGTCGTTTTTGCCAAAAGCCAAGATATATACCGCAAATTGCTGGGCGTAAGAAGATTTCTTACCAACGAATGTGGTATCTTCCTATCACTGATAGATTAAAAAGACTATATCAATCTGAACGGACAGCTGCGTCGATGAGATGGCATGCAAAACATTCACAAACAGATGGCAAAATGACTCACCCGTCTGACGGGAAATCTTGGAAATATTTTAACACCGTACATCCAGACTTTGCTAGATCTAAGCGAAATGTTTATCTTGGTCTTTGCACTGACGGGTTTAGTCCATTTGGTATGTCTGGTAGGCAATATTCATTATGGCCTGTGATTCTTACGCCATATAACCTTCCTCCAGATATGTGCATGCAAATGGAGTTTTTATTTCTAAGTATCTTAGTCCCCTGGTCCAAATCACCCGAAGCGGGCCCTTGATGTGTTTTTGCAGCCACTCATACATGAGTTAAACCAGTTGTGGCATGTTGGAGTACGAACATATGACTGTTCGAGTGGTAAAAATTTTACGATGCGAGCGGTGCTTATGTGGACAATAAGCGATTTCCCGGCATACGGAATGCTATCAGGTTGGACAACGCATGGGAGGTTATCATGTCCTTATTGTCTTGAGAGGACTGATGCATTTCATTTTAAACATGGTCGGAAAACCTGTTGGTTTGATTGCTACCATCGGTTTTTACCACCAAACCATCAATATAGAAGAAACAGACGTTTGTTTATAAAGAACAAATTGGTTCGTCTCCCTCCACCAGTGTACCTAACTGGGGTAGATCTTGAAGCGCAAATAGATCATTGGGGTGGACTTGAAACGGTCCCCCGAGAAGGAAATTGGCACACTCCAGTGAATATGTCTGAAGGATATGGGGTTCATCATAATTGGCACAAAAAAGTATATTTTGGGATCTGCCATACTGGAAAGATCATTTGCTGATACATAATCTTGATGTTATGCACATTGAGAATAATTTTTTCGATAACATCATGCATACTGTTTTGAACGTCCAAGGAAGAACCAAAGACAGCGTTAAATCACGGATGGACTTGCCTGATATATGTAACAGAATTGAGTTGCATATGGTGAGTAATGGGAAAGCACCAGTTCCTGTATTTCGGTTGGGTGCTGAACAAAAAACAGCATTGTTTAGTTGGTTATCATCAGCCGTGAAATTTCCTGATGGGTATGTATCTAATCTGGCTAAATCTGTGGATAAAGGACAAAAGTTTTCAGGGATGAAAAGTCATGATTGTCATGTGTTTATGCAACGGTTACTTCCTTTTGCGTTTGCTGAACTCCTACCGGGACATGTCCATGAGGCACTAGGAGGCATTGGAGCTTTCTTTCGTGATCTAAGTACAAGGACATTATCAACAGATGTTGTTGCACAACTTTCTATTAACAAATTCTTTCGTGATGCTGTTGCACAACTTATCAGCAGATGTTGTTGCACAACTTTCTATCTAAGTACAAGGAGCTTTCTTTCATGATCACTAGGAGGTTTGATCCAACGGTGGGTCGTGGAGTGCGTATTAACAAATTCGGAGTGGTAGATGTAAACGCATCTCGACGATACAATAAGTTCGAGCCTTTTATACTTGCATCTCAATCAGAACAAGTCACATTTGTTCCATATCCTCGAGTTCGAAGTACGGGAATTTCATGGTTGGCGGTTGTTAAAGTTGCTCCAAGGGGTTTAATTGATGGTGTAGATCTCCCGCCTATGCAACAAGATGATTGTGTCGACATTACGGAACCTGAGGTTGAAGAACATGTTCTTTTAATTGATCCACGTAATCAACAAGTTGAAGATCTCCATGGGGATGAAACTGAAGAAGCTGCTGACGAATTTCAAACAAGCAGTGATGAAGATGATGAGGACAACGAGGAAAATGTTGAAGATGAAACACGATGACATAAATAAAATATTAGTTTATCGTTTGCATGCCTTAAACGAAATTTGTAATATTAAATGTAACATTTGTTAAATTTGATAAATTTGTTAAACTTTAAATGTTTTAAAAAGGAAAGACAATTATTCAAAAGAAAATTTATAAGCGTTGACTTGGACATATGTTGACCTTTGTGACGAATTTACGACGATTTCTAAATAATCGTCGTAAATTCGTCGTAAAATGTAAACCCTAAACCCTAAAGGGTTTCGCTTTCCCAACTTATAGAATGTTTTTTGGTGCATTTTCCTGACTAAGCTCATGTATTATATAAGGTTTTGTAGTATAACATTAAAGAACTTGTAGATATGTGGTTTGTATTACGACGACTTTACGACGAATGTGAGTGATTCGTCGTAAATTCGTCGTAATATACCATCGAAGTTACGACAAAATCTAACCCCTAAATCTTGTAATCATCATTTTCTTGTATT